GGAGGGGGTGTGGGGGGGATTTTTTTAAGTTTTGTTTTTAACTTCGAGCGTTCTCTGTGTTTGGTTTTTTTTTTAATTCAGTTCCTGTTGTTTAGTAAAGGAATTCAGGATCTCTGAAGTTTAAATATGAGATGTTTATATAGCAGTTCTGGTTTTCTATTAGCTTTTATACAGTATCTTAAAAAGCCCTTGATAGAAGTGTTTATTTTGGAGGATACGGAATAAATATGCTTCCACTTATATAACTTTAATATATGTTTTAAAAGTTAAATTATGGAAAAAATGTTAGTTGCTTGTTTATAAATAAAGGTCTTTTGTAGAGTATCTAGTCTGGCCGCAGCCAAAATAAAAGGCAAATTTATTGATACAAAAACCTGTCTTCATCATATTTGTTTAATTTAGTAGCTGTGTACTAAAGTGACACAAAGTTCAAGATCTTGTTAAATATAAAATTGTTTTGCTTTTTTCTTAAAATTTGTGACAGGAATGTGCAGATGTTTTAATATATAGATTAGAATCTTTAATTCTTTCTTTTTTTTCTATTTTTATAATCTGTCAGATAAATCTCAGAGAACCATTCTGCTTCAGTGGGAGTACAGTGGAAACTTCCACTGCATTTAAGAGGAGCAGGGTTGAGCCATGAAATGTATTTTGGTTTCGGACTTTTTTCCTTTCAGGCTCTGTGTTGGCAAAGCGTCTAAGCCTATGGTTAAGTTCCATTGAGATCAGTCTTAATTTTTTTTAAATATGTGCTTAAGTGCTTCACTAAATCAAGACCATGGTCACCATTGAAAGTGAGCAATGGCAGAAAAATGTGTACAGATTTTTTTTTTTCAAGTCCTAGAAGCAAAAGTTAAAATGAATTTTCCTTTACCTAAAAACTGCATCTACAGCTAGAGTATAGTTCTGTAGTTTTACAAAAACAAAGGACGTGAACCAGTAATAATAGTCTCTGCTTCTTGTATCTGCGCTTTTCTGTTGTTTTTTGATAAATTGGAGTGAAACAGCCTGTGACAGTTAATGGAGCAGATAACCTGCTGAAGCGGTAGGTGACACTAGAGTTTGTCTTGTGTATTTCAGAATGGAGATGTAGCCTTATCCGTGAACCAAAACACAGCTGTAAGAGGCTTGTTCCTGCATTTCCTATTTAGGCAGGCCTTCTAGTGACATCCGGATTTTTTTTTTTCTCTGATGTTGTTTGTTTGTTTTTCCCAAAGTAGGGTATGCGGGTTTGGTCTGAAGCTAGATGTACTCTGTTTTTCTTCCAAGCTTCCAGTGATAAAACTAGAAGTTCCTCATATGGGATAAGGACAGACTATGCCTACCTTCTTGGCACTAACAGTGAGGGTGCAAATATATGGCATGAGCCTGTAATCTGGCATGTGCCTATACTGTTCAATAAAATTGTTTACATTTTCCTACCAGAAGATTTAGATAAAAATCAAAGCAAGCTTAGGGTTTGGGTTTTTTTTTTAATGATGCTGTTAATGAATCAGTGTTAAAATCTTTTTGGTTTTGTTTTTGTTGAACACAGCCTGGTAGTATTTTTTAATGTCATTGATTCTTGTTTATTTAAAATGACTTGTGAAAAACTGTATAACTGTTGTACATAAAGGGACACTATCAAGAGAAAGGTTGTATACAGTAAATGTACTCATCTGTGTAAGAATACTTGATATTAATAAAATCAAAGAATTTAAAAACATGAATTGAGTCATAACACTTGAGCTGCTTGGGCATGAAAGTGCCTATTAAGGGCATCCTCAGTTGTTGCAAGGATGTCTGAAAAATGTATCTGAATTCTGTGGGCTGAGCTTATTTTTCATGTTGCTTTTTCTCTCACTATTCCAGAATAAGGGACTCGATCCATCTTTCCTTTTTTCAGTTTATCAGCGAGACACATTACCTTTTAAAGACACAAGCTTCCCACTGCTGCAGCAGCATCTTTAATTAAAACATGTACATAAAACCAGAACAAACTATCTCTTGCAATGTAACATGCAAAATAAAGTACACATGTTAAGGCTTATTCTTGACAGTGTCCCTTTTTAAAAAGCAGGAAAATGGGATCACTTAGTGCTTGGGCACAGGAGAATAGTTTCCTACAGTTTCTAGGAATTGGACTTATCCAATATACTTGCTATAGAATTTTCCAATTAGTTACACAAAATCACTTGTCATTTTAAAGGATTATAGAGGTAAGACAAAAGAAGGTGGTTTTATAATCCTGTATACTTTATAGTCATTGTATATCAGTTCAATACACTGGTGTTGAATTTTAATTAAGGATGGGTTTTTACGTTTTTTTAGGACTGAGACTTAATAGCTTAGGGTAACTTTTTCTTTAATGTAATGTAAATCCATTGCTGCTTTGTACAACTTTTTCTACTGTGTGTTTTCTTTACTTAGATCTTGACTAAGAAATGTTGGCGTCCAATAAACTTACACTTTGTTTCTTTTGAATTACTGTGTCTTATACTGGAATCTCTTGGCAAAGTGTGATGTTATTGTACATACCATTGTGTCTGTGGAATGGGAGTTTTGTTTATAAAGGAGCATCTTTTGATCTATTTGTTGGATGTAAATGACAGTTTTTACATTACTAAAATAATGGCTGTTTGTTTTAGTAAGTGCCCCACTGAATTTTTTACTGGAAAACACAAGAAAACCAACTGCTCTAAACAATCTCTTAAAAACTTGAGCACAGCCCAAATTCTGCTTCCTATGCATTCAGTGATTAAAACAGGACTTTGTGGAAGCAAAGTTACATCAGCTGACTATCTTTGAACCAGATGTTTGAAAATACACTGTCAGGAATGTTTATGGTATTTTGCAGTGCTCTCATCAAAAGCAGTTTTGCTGCGTGTATTTCCCTCTTCAAAAACCCCCATGTGGGAGTGTAGCGTATGGATTCCCATGATGCAGAAAATGATCTCTGTATCTTTTGGGAACAGGGTTTACTAGGCTCCTCTCTTCAAAGTAGATGAGACCTCTCTTGAAAACTCAGGCCAGTTTTCTCAACTTCTTGGACTCCACGTTTGCTGTCCTTTGCCATTTTTAATTTGTGACCAATTTCATTCACACTTAATAGAGGAGACAAGGTCTCAAGAGTCAATCTCCAACAAGTTTCATAAAAAATCACTGGCTGGGTAGCAAAGAATGGTCTTAGTGGGAAGGATAAAATTTGCAGCAAGAGCACGTGCTGAAGAGTTATCTGTGCTTTTTACCCCAGTGCTTGTCACCGTGTGCATGTGTACTGTCTTGTCAGAGTAAGCGGGGCAATAGGTCAGGTGAAACATACAGCAGAGCTGAAATACCAGGTCTGCCAAATGGTCAGAGTCAAGGTTTGAAAGGACACTCCAAGTTCAAGAGGATTTGGGCCTTTAACGCCTCTTAAATCTCTTTGACAACATGGACAAAGGGCTCCTGGCCTGTCCCATCCCTCCGTGGAG